CTCACTTTTGCATCTGTATGAGAAAAGTCATTGTTTCTGATTATTTTACAGAACTCAGACTTCATCCAACTCCAACTTTATATTTCAGTTATAACAGTTACTGCTCTTCTATAGCCAACATATTTCCTTTCCAGTCATGTTAGTAAAAAATCCTGGGTTCCTAAACATCAGGAATAAAATACCCAATGGCTTTGTGAGAGGTTGAAACACTCATTTACTCCTTCACTGACAGCTTACACCCCACTATATTAAGTTTCTCCTGGACAGATACCGTGCCTTAGTTATCTTTATGCCTTCACTCCATAGAGCAGTGTAATACTTAGGGAATGGTTTTTGAATGAATCCATGAATCTAATTCTGTAATCCTGGTGTACATTTTGAGTTTCTCATTGGTAGGATGCAATTCTATATATAAAATCAGATATGTCCTAATCTGATATCCTAGCTAATTCAATCATAACTTGACAGTGCTATTCTAGAAACTGGAAGAATGATTCTAGGCACAGTGTGATTTCAGCATGCTAATGACATGCTTTTATTAACAAAAAACAAGTATTCTTGACCCTGAGTTGACTGGATCACAAGATGTAGATAACCTTTACAAGAGCAAAATAAGAGGAGAGCTGAAGCTAACCAAGAGTTCTGTGGATTTGGAAACAGATTATCCTAAAGTGCCAGGCACAGGACCTAGCTATAAAGACAACACTGGTCAAACAAAAACATTGCAAAGAAGGGTCAACAGAGTATTTCTTTCAAAGGGAGTAACTTAAGTTACAAGAGGAGTGGGCTCTGGCTTCTGCCAATATTAGATACAAAACAACCCTTAGCTGAAACCAAAGTTCACCTTATCTGTGATCAAATGGGTTCCTGCTGATGTGCCCATTCCAAGGTTCACTCTAATATTTTATGCAAGGCTCTGCTTATCTAGAATTTAAAGGCATATTGTCACATTAATTTCCATACTGTGGTTTTTATTCTAAAGAAATGTGTTTATAAGGACTGCTAGTCCCTCTCCAAGCCTATTTGCACAGAATTACATTTTAGGTCTCTCTTTTTTAAACTTATTTATGTTCTTACAACATGTATGTGTGTCTGTACTATATGCATGTTTGGTACATATGCAGAATATGGCACAGGATCTCCTGGAACTGGAGTTACAGATGTCTATGAATCCTGGAAATCTACGCCTGCCTCAGGGTTTCAAATGAACCTTGTTTATTTGTTTCTCTCTTCCTTTTCTTTCATTTACACATCTTTGTGTTTGTTGACTTATGTATTTGAAACAGAATCTCACTAGGGCTCTGACTGTCTTCAAATTCTCATTGCAAGCCAGGCTAGCCTTGAACTCATAGAGATCTATTTGCATCTTCCTCCTCAGCACTAGTATCAAAGATGTGTGCCATCTTACCTGACTAACTTAAACTTCTTTTTAAATTTTTTTATGTAATAACTATAAATAAAATAAAACAGTAGCCAGGCATGCTGGTTAATCCCAGCCCTCCAGAAGCAGGGATCTCTGATTTCCAGGCCCACCTGGCCTATAGAGCAAGTTCCAGGGTAGCCAGGACTATACAGAAAACCCCTGTCTCAAAAACAATAAAATAAAAATAAAATAAATAATTTTATGTTATGTGTGTATGTATATGAATACATACATATATGAGTCTCTTTCTCTCTCTCTCTCTCTCTGTCTCTCTCTGTCTCTCTCTGTCTCTCTGTCTCTCTCTCTGTCTCTCTCTGTCTCTTCACACACACACACACACACACACACACACACACAAATGGGTTAGGGCCTGGTGAGCGCCGCGAGGACAGGAACAGAACTGGTGTTCGGTGGCTTACCTGAGCTGTGGGAAGTGCACTCGGGACTTGGCTCTCAAAAAAAAAAATATTCAGGGTTAGGGTGAGGGTTAGAGTTAGGGTTAGGGTTAGGGTTAGGTTACGTGTGTGTGTGTGTGTGTGTGTGTGTGTGTGTGTGTTTATCTCTGTGTGTGTGTGTGTTATATATAATATGTTTTTATACCACCTGCATCTCTGGTGCCCATTATGTCTGAACTAGAGTGATCATATACATGTTGGAAATTGAATTCATGTCCTCAGGAAAAGCAGCCAATGATCTTCTCCACTGAGTTCTTTCTTCAGCACTTTGTTGGGAAATTTTCATGTTTTGACTATATTTAACCCTTCAGCCAACTCCTCCAAGATCTCTGTTCCCTAGGAACTGAACCTTGTGAGTTTTTTTTTTCATATCAACCATGTTCAGTATGTACTGCACTTATAACATGAATATGTATCCTTGCACTAGAGTATTATAAGAGGTACTACAGGTAATATTCTTAAAAACAAAAAAATCTGACTCTTCCTCTCCCAACAGTATCAATTGCTAGTGGCTCCCCAGCTAGGGCTGGTACTCCATGGTCACCTGTCTTCTCCACGCTGTGATTTTCTCTGCCTTGAGCTTGTATGGGGATTTTAAATGCTGTCACAACCCCTGTGAGTCTATATGTACAGATAATGCTGTAGTAAATATTTAATCTCAGTCAGGGACTTCTATCTTACCTTTAATCATTCCGTTTCCAGATGAAATACATGTAACTTTTGTTTTTATAATAAGCCTTAATTAAAGCTGGGCAGATACATTCCATCTAAGCTATTAGCATCTACTTTCCTGTCTATAACCCTGACTTATATCTCACCATGTTCTATCTGGGATGTTCTTAATTCTAGTTAGCCAGCCCTCTTGGCCATGTTTTTATGACTCACCTACCACGTGGTGTCTGCTCTTTTCTCCATCTTCTTCTCTCTTCCTTCAATCCTGGGAACTAAAACTTCCACCGATCTCTATTCTGACCAGATATAGGCTGGAGGCATCTTTATTCACCAACTTGATAACTTGATATACCAAGGTTACATGGTCATGTGGGCCTATATGCTGATTCTCTCGTCCCTGGGGACAACCTTGGGATGCAAATATTTAGCATTATAATACATAGCCAAAGACCAATCCTCAAGAGATGACTGTTGGATATGAAAGAAAAAGCTTGCTTGTAGTTATCCATTACGTCTGTCTCGTACAAGCTTTCCACAGCGATGGCCTGAGACTTGGAAGGATGTATGTGATATACATGTCCCATTTATGGCTTAGTGTTTTCTTATGCCCTGCAACTGGGCCAGTTGTGAATCTCTATGTCAATAACTATCTACTATAAAAGATTCTTTGATGAGAGTTGAGAGATGCTTTAATCTTTAGGTATAGGTAACTTGGAGTCATTTTCATACAATGTTCATTTATTAGAATATAGTAATAGGTTCATACCTACATTGCATGTTCTGTCTGACACAGATGCATGCCCAACATTGTTGTCAGACATGAGTTTCTCTTCTAAATCAAAAGAAGGGATAGTTCCTAAGAGCCAAGCACTTCAGAATCTACTTAATGACAATTTGAACTATAAGAATCATACATTTATTTGATGAATGTTAGATTTTTTTAAGGAAAATTATATTTCATAGACCTAGTGTTATGAGGTTGAATGCGAAATATACATTGAAGCAGCTAAATGAGCTGATCTGTGGTATTTGGTTATTTGCTATTGTTCATTCAAATACTGCAGCTTTTCTGTCAAAGAGAATGGTTTTTATATAACTTGGTTAACATTAAACTGTTTTTGGCATTATACAGCCATCAGGTTCAAAAGCTTGGAAAATAAAATTGTGGTTTCTCTTAATTAAAAAACAAAAAACAAAACAATTTTAAACACCCACTGACCTCAATATTTACAAATCACACTATTCCTGGAAGCAGTATTCCCATTTCTAGAATAACACTATCTAGACAGAACTATCAAGTTCTGTCTGAAATACTTATGATATCAGAGAAAGACAGACCTGTTTTTAAATTTAGAACTATATTCTACTCATAAGCAGGATGAGAGAACAAGATTCATGGATTCATTCAAAAACCATTCACTAAGTATTACTTTATTCTATATAATGATGAATAAGGCATGGTCTCTGTGCAGGAAAAATGTAATATAGGGGAGTGTAAGCTGTCACTTACACACAAACCTCACTCAAAAAGTGAATAAAAGAGGCAAATTAATAGTGAAATGCAGACGGAAAATACATTTACTATGATCACTTTAGGAAGAGAGACAAAAGGAGCCAATCACCCTTCCCTCCATCTTTTGGGTTCTTACAAGACATATGCATAGCTAAGCATTCCAGGTATGGCATGGGACCTTACCCATCTTAGCTCCTAGGCTCCAGAATGTTAGCTTCCCCTAGCTTGTAAATGGCCTTTCTAAGAAACAAATTCCTCCTCTGAGTGTCCCCAGAGACCAAACATTTCTTCTCCCAGCAAAAGGTCACTGGGGAAAGTCATTCAATTCTCTGAAAGTCAAGGAGAAAACCAGAAGTGTCTCCTTATCTCTTCACCCCTCCCAGGCTGACTAGGTACATAAAGGAGATTCATGGTAGGCTAAAGCTGGATCCAATGGAAAGGCTAAAAGAACAGGGTTTCTAGATTACAATATGCTCTAAATATAAGTGCAGTGTGAGTAATTCTGAAATTATACTATGAACCTCAGAGCCATATATTTAAAATCATTAAATAATGCAATAAATGGTCAGTGTTGCCAATAGTCATATGACAGAGCACTGAACTATGTATGGTATTTATAAAAATGTGCCTGAAGAGTTCTGCCTTTACTTCAGGTTCTTTATCAAAGAAGCTACAATAGGAGAAAGAGAGAGTGGAGGGGAGGGAGAGAGGGATCTTACGTTTCACTGTTCCCCAAATACATTATATACTCAAGATCACTGAGAATCAGGAGTCATTTCCCACTTTCAAATCTGTGTCCAGGTTTTGACACTTGCCCTCCAGAGGCTGTAATTATCCCACTTCTATTTGCTTTGGTGGGTACAAGTTATACTTTAACTGACTGATTATTGCTCTGTCTAAAACTGCAAGAGCTGAGTAACCACTCTTTGGAAGGCAGTTCTGAAGTTAACCATGATGTCTGTGAAAATGACAGCAGCCCTGCTTCTGCTCCAGATGAGTAGCTTCTTTGGAACTGGGAATGGTGGGAAGGTGCTGGTGTGGCCAATGGAGTTCAGCCATTGGCTCAACTTAAGAACAATCCTAGATGAGCTTGTGAAGAAGGATCATGAAGTGATGGTTCTGAAACCATCGGCCTCATTTTCTTATGAGGTTGACAATACATCTGCTATTGAATTTGAGACTTATCCTACAACATACTCTCTATCTGAGTTAGATGAAATTTTCTGGGAATCACTCAGAAAATATATTTATGAGCTGCCAAAGCAGTCATTTTTTGGATACTTTTTAATGTTTCAAGAAATGATTTGGGTAGATTCAGATTTTTTTGAGACTCTCTGCAAAGATGTAATTTTTAACATAGAACTCATGACAAAGCTACAAAACTCTAGCTTTGATGTCATTCTGGCAGATCCTTTCATTCCCTGTGGTGACCTGCTGGCCGAGATTCTCAAGATACCCCTTGTCTACAGTCTCCGCTTCTTTCCTGGCTCCACATATGAAAAGTACAGTGGAGGACTGCCACTGCCTCCTTCCTATGTGCCTGTTGCTCTGTCAGAACTGAGTGATAGAATGACATTCATGGAGAGAGTGAAAAATGTCATCTATACACTGTGTTTTGACTTTTGGTTCCAAACATTTAATGAGAAGAGGTGGAATCAGTTTTACACTGAAGTATTAGGTAAGTATCCTGTTAACTTGGGATTGTCCAATTCTCAATTTCCTGTCATTGAAGCTGACCTTGACAGAACAGGATTGACAGCAGAGGATTTGTCTCTCCTAAATAAAATGGTGGCAACACTGTAAAATTATCTGACATATTCAAAGCATTGCCAAAAGGCTTATGTCACAATGTCGATTGAAAAACTTCATCTATGACTTGCACAGGACACTTCTGAAAGGCACATGCCCATAAAACAAGCTTTAAGAACTTCTCTAAGAAATGATTTATGCACAAGATCTTTCCCCTCACCTCTTCCAACAGCAGTCTTAGCTGACTAGTGTCATCACCATCATCATCATCCTTAATGTTATTGTCACAAGTTACAGTTATTGTCACAAATATACACATGAACACTAGTGTCATGTGTGGGAGGCTGGTGCTCTGTGTTGCACATGTGGAAGATGGAATTTGTTGAGTTTTAACTTTCACCTCTGTGTGGATTCTCAGGATCAATTCAGGTGTTTAGGTTTGTATGAGGATTGAACTCCAATCTTTAAGTTCTCGTGATAAACACCTTTACCTTCTAATCCATTACACAAGCCCCTAAAAACACCAGCTTCAAATAACCTCAAAGTCTTCATGACCTTCACAATACACTGAAGACTATACATATTTCTAGCATAGGTATAAACTACACATTGAGGACTTTTCATATAAATGAATTTTCTCATTTATGGTTTGAACGATATTCCTCTTTAACCTATTAAATTTCTGCACAGCTGTGAATATGCTATCTGTGCTATTTACACAGAAAATATGTGAATTCACAACATGGGGGAATCTAATTTACTTATTGAAGTGGGTTGACATTGTGTTTCAAATGGATAACCTTGAAAGGTAGACATGTTGGATACTACTTGCAGTGTTTTAAAATATGCTTAAGGAACACACATGTCTCCATTCATATTTTAAGGCAAGTATCCCTATGTTCAGTAAGTCTATTTATACATACCGAATACTGCACATTCAGTTATGAATCAAGAGGAATATCAAAGAGCTCAGGCAGAATCAAAATTCTCTTTGAGGTCAGCCAGGGTTACATAGTAAGACCCTATCTCACTGAAATGCTCAAACAAAGTCCCCTTAAATGTTTACACTGGGCTTGGGTGCACACACCTTCCATTTCTGCGGTTAAGATGAGGAGGAGGAGGATCTAGCATCAAGGACTCCTGTGTGACTACTGAGGAACCACACTCAGCTGCATCCAACTGTCTCAAAACCAGACAGCACAAAATCCTCAATTCATTTATAGGAGCAGACATCAAAGGTTCCAGGTGCTACATAGAATATTTTCCATCTGGAGTTAAAGGAAAAGATGATTCCCTGAGTTAAGATTCCTAGATAATGGCATTTGATTATATTTCAATAACATATCTCAGTGTTTAATGATCAGGAATTACCAAAGTGGTGTCTTCTCACAGAGACTCGCACAATGACTTTATATATCTCTGAGCATAAGGATGAGAAACACATATATTACAAATTTTTTGAACATTACACACACATGCACACACACACACACACACAGGTACCAAAGTCACACACTTGTAAATGTTTCTGACTATATTACCAAAAATGCTTGCAGGAAGTTACCTGGCATATTCATATTCACCTGTGACTTTGTCACATCTTATACCTTCTCTGCTCTGATTCCTTTTCAGGAAAACCCACGAAACTCACAGAAACTATGGCAAAGGCAGACATATGGCTCATTAGGACCTACTGGGATCTGGAATTTCCTCATCCTGTCTTACCAAATTTTGAGTTTGTTGGTGGACTCCACTGCAGACCTGCCAAGCCCCTGCCTAAGGTAAATATATTCCTGGTTTTTTGCTTCTGTTGGCCTTGCTTTTGCAACATGAATGATTAGATTTTATTCCTTCAGAATCTTTGTGTCAAACTCAGAGAGTCATGGGAATTTGGGTAAAGGCAACAGACTGCAGGAAAGCCTGAATCTGTTCTATCACAAGTCTTCATTTCCTTTACGGACCCTGTGGATTTGTAATGACAAGAATAATTAGACTACTAGTCAACACAGAGAAAATATCAGTCACTCAAGAAGACCATACAAAAAGTGATAGGTCCACCCAAAAGGTAAGCACACAGAGAGCATACAGGGAAACACAGTGTGCACAGGCTCACCCAAGAGCAAAAACTATTCTACTTTCAAGAGTTGCTGTGAGCAAATAACTGAACTGTTTGAATGGTATAGTGAGGGAAGATCACTTTGAGTTGCAGTGAAAGAGTAGTCAATATATGAAGAAAGATAAAATGAACTATTTTGTTCATTTAAGAGCTCATTATCTACCTGGTCTCCAAACCCTGTTTATAGTTAATGTCTGTAAATGAGTTCTATAAGCACACAAGAAGGCATTTCCCTGCAGGTACAGAGGAATGTGGTTTTAACTAACATAACACTTCATGAGGCAAAGGAAGGGAAACTTTTTTCTATTCTTAGTAAAAGAGGTCTCTGGAGAATCCTCCTTTACTTCAACAATGACAGCAATATCATACAATGTTACACAAAAGATGATATGCTTTTTTCTAATCCAGTTGGAATGTGTATAGTTACTGAGAACTCTATAATCAGAGGAAGATTTCCAAGTTCTGTGCAGGCCAGCAGTGTTTACAGGAGACCCCATCTTTACAATAAGGGAATGGCAATGACAACAGGAGAAGGGGGTACAAACTGAGGGCAAGAAGGGTGTGCTGACGCTGACTTCAGTAGGAGAGAGCTGGCCCAACATGCCCAGTGCAGCTGAAAGGCAAACAGAAGGAAGGGTGTGGGAGGATAGACTCTGCATGGTAGTTAGGAATAATGAAGAGTGGATTGCAGTTCCTCAAACAAGGTTTCAACCCTAGTCAATAACTGTTGATTCTTTTTGTCCTTTGTGGTGGGAATCGTTGTTCCTCTAAACCAACTGCTTCATATTATTAGATATGCAAATACTTTTGTGTGGTTCAAACAATATATATTTGACAAACAATATCAACCATGCACAAAAAATGCACACATTAAAATTGAATGTGTATCTAAGAACAGCTAAAAGAGAAATATGCTGTGTTCCCACACTAAAGAACTGATAGTTATTTAATAGATAGAATGTACTGTTTGCTTTGATTTGATCATCCTTCATGAAAATGAAAACAAATTTCATGAACTTATTAGGTCTGTGAGAGAATGACATTCTTTTTAAAAAAAATTAGAATTAGATTCAAGGCCCATGAATTCCAGTCCTGAGCATGCATGTAGAGGAAATGAATGAAGGTTTTCAATGAGAGAGTAATGCAAAGATGATCAGAATATCACTGTTCCTCAAGGGAGATGGATGGCTTGCATGAGAATGGCCCCCTTATGCTCATATTGAATGCTGGGTTCCCAGTTGGTGAAGTACTTAAGAAAGATTAGGAGGTGTGTCTTTGTTGGAGAAAATGTGTCACTGGAGATGGACTTTGATGTTTCTAAAGCCTAAGCCATGCCTGATCTCTTTCTGTCTCTCTGCAACATACGGATTAGGTTCAGCTCTGGGCTTTTATTCCAGTGACATCCCTTCCTGCCTGCCACGGTGCTATCCAACAATAAGTTATTAGAGTAAACCCCTAAAACTGTAAGCAAGCCTCCAATTCAATGCATATTTTTAAGATTTCATTTATTTTATATATGTGAATACATTGTAACTTTCTTCAGACTCACCAGAAGAGGGCATCAGATCCCATTACAGATGGTTTTGCACCCGCATGTGGTTGCTGAGAATTGAACTCAGGAACTCTGGAAGAACAGCAGTACTTAACTGCTGAGCCAACTCTCCAGCGCTAAATATATTCTTTTATAGGTTATCTCAATTATGCTATTCCCACCCAACTTTATAACAGTAGCTACGAAAGAGGAAAGCAACCTAGATATCAATAGAAATGTTAACAAACAAATATTTATAATATATGTGTTTGTTTATGTTGTATATACCTACATATTTACATGTTCATTTATGTACATATACATAGCTCTACATATAGCCCACTTAAGTATGCATAAATATACATATACATTTAGACATATGTATATGTGTGTATATGCGTGTGTGTGTGTGTGTGTGTGTAGTATGTGTATATGTATATGTGTTTGTACAAATACAAAGAAATATCCAAACCTTTAAAACCTAGAGTCTACAGACACATGACCTTAATAAGAGTACACTAAATAAAATGAGCAAACAAGAAAGAAAATAAGACTATCTTATGTAAGCAACATATACTAGTTGAAATTATAGAAAGAAAAAGCAGATGTTTGGAAGCCAAAGGAACAAGGAGAGAGAAGGAGAACTCTGGATTTAATTTCTAAAACTCTTGTCTTTCAAGATGAAAATAACCCAAGGCAATTTGTATGACAATGAGAACTGTAACCTGTGTACAATGAGTTACAAGTATATATCTTATACATGGATGTGACACTATTCTGAACATTTGTGAGAGTCCGTGATATATTTCCATTGATGTAGATGTCTGTTTCTATGCAGGTTGTTTGGTGCTTCTGCTCTTTGTAATGGTCTGATATTTCATTAACAGGAAATAGAGGACTTCGTCCAGTCATCTGGAGAACACGGTGTTGTGGTGTTTTCCCTGGGGTCCATGGTGGGCAGCCTAACAGAAGAAAGGGCCAATATGATTGCAGCAGGCCTTGCCCAGATTCCACAGAAGGTGAGTTACAGTGTCTCAGTGATGATTCCTCACTGAGATGGTCATATGCTATTCTAGATCTGCTTGCAGATGCCTCCTGTGTGAAATTGAAGCTGTCCTGATGACACCAATGCACATTTCCCATATATATGTACACACACACACACACACACACACACACACACATGTTGCATGTAATTTTAAGAACACACTGGCTCCTTTGCTGGGGGGATGCAGCCCATGCTCCAGGTTTAGCTCCACCATAGGCTAGCAGGCACCTTTCCCGGGAACTGTGATCTAATATTCGCCCCTTAGCTCTGAGAAAAGCCATTGCCAGCTCCACTCCCAGGAAAGCCTATTCCTCCTGGCTACCTTCAGCAAGCCACCAACTAAGGTCCCAACTGCTCTCTTTCTCCTACCCTCCTTAGCTCCTCGGAAGAAAAACACTAAACAGCTTTATTAACGTAGAACTTCCCAGATAACACAAATTCTGGATGAAGAATTGCCCTAAGAATTCCCAACCACCCAAGATATTACACAGTTGCTGCATGCCTCCTGCTCCAAAGCCTAGCCTATAAGACCTCTTCCTTCCCTCCATCCCTTCTCTTTCTTCTGGGACACGGAAGTCCCACCTTTCCCTTCGCCCAGCAATTGGCTTCAACCCTCTTTATTGACCAAATCAAGGACCAATTAGGGACTCAGATTGTAGTATCAGTTCTTCTCCTACATCTCACATTTTCTATCCAATAAAAAATAAAAGTTCTTCTCCCAGATATTAATTGAACATAACCATAACAATTAAGTAAATGACACAGTATGAGGTACAGATGACATCTACTCCATCAAATTATTACACGGAGTACTCTACCACATTTCCTAACTGAAAGAATTATGATTTTATCCCTGGATTATGTTTCGAATTTCAGCCTATAACGTCACTTGAAAACCATGTCATGTGCTCTCTCTGTGTCAAACAACTTGAATTTGATTATGAGACCAAAGCTAGTCTTCAACCCCATCAGAAATCAGAGAATGACAAAATATTACCTGAAAATATAGGAAGCACAGAATAGAGCTTCCAACATGGACAGTCCCTCATTTTTCAGAACCTAAGAGCATCCATATTTGGCCTTCTGGCCAAGGATCATCTATCTGACGGACTTATAAAGTAGAATTGTTTGAATGGCTGCTGACTCTGTCTCCACAAAGCTAGTAGCTGACTACTTTGTAAAAATGTGTCCTTCTCTGGACAATACTGTCTATAGATGAACTGGGCAATTGTTGCCAAGTGGCTGCCTTGCCACAAAAGCAACCTGGCCTGGAGGAGGAGAAGATGCTCAAATCTTCTTTGAACCAAGGAGGGAGTGCTGTTCAAAGCAGGTATGTCTCTTTGTCAAATGAGTAAATAACATCAAATGTCATATTTTATGGATTTCTGATGTTTTTGAAGACGACTTATGTACGTAAGCTAATCTGAAATGTTAAACCAGGACTATTCTCAGTTTTTTCTAGTTGAAAAACATTGAAAACACCATCTGGTAGTTGAATCAGAAATCTAACATAACCATGAGTTTGCTATCTGGCCTTTAACTTCAATCATCTGAAAATAGTTTGCAATAGCAGTCATAGAAGAACTGGGTCTAAGCTTTGCATTCTTAAAAGCATTGTATACACAGGCACAAAGTCTGTCGAAGAATAACAATATTAAAATATAACTTCAACTTTGTATTAATTATAAAGATTTCTACCAATTAGGATAATAGCTACACAATCAATTTCACCTATTTCCTCCCTGTTAAAAATTATGACCATTCCCAAATTCCCTAGAGTGACAATCTTTCAAATAACCAGTACCAGACTCCCAAACCCAGGGCTGGCAACACTATATAACTTATTCCGGCTGAACAGGGACCATTAAATAGCTTTGAAGGGGAGAGGAAGAATAGGGAAATTAGGAGATTGAGTTTGGCCTTAAGAAATCTAAGTCAGCAATTGTTATCCAGTCATTGACGCCTAGAAGGCTCAGGGATTGACTGAACATTTGACTGGAACTGTCTGAAAGGTTGAAGACAACCTGGAATCCATAAATAGGGAGTCCAAGCAGGTCAGTTTAGCATCTTTGAGGGAGAATATTTTCAAAGTTGTTCATTCTGTAATATACAAATCTCAAAACGGATTTAAGTACCAACAGGAGATCTGTATGGATTCTGTAAGGTCACAGACTAGTTGAGGATGAAATTTTGTTTAAGCATGTGAAAGACAACTGACTTTTTAATGAGCCAATTTTAATAATAATAACCAATCATAAGGATCCATTTATGTCATGTGAAGGATAGCACAAAGGATCTTTACCTGTCCTGTTTGATTTTCTTGAATTTTTCTAGTTCTTTAGAGGATTTCCCTCTGTCATGTCTAATCCACATAACCTGTTCTCCTTTTCTATAATCACAGATGTAGACTTTCACCCAAAGTAGCATGTCTTTGAGCCAGTAACCAGAAAAACTATTAGCTTGACCTTTCTCCCCAAGAAATATAATAAAACCACAAAACTCAAAATTATATCAATTGTGATAATTGAAATAATTTAAAATGAGTGGAGTAAACTAAACAAATACTGTATGAGCCTATTTTTAGACTTCTAATCTGTCATGTCAGGAAATTTATCCTAGAATTTCTATGGAGCCCACATTAGAAGAAATTGAGTTATCTTGTAAGACTTCTATAAATCTCCCTAAAGCATTAACTTTTGTTTATAGCATAATCTCATTTGTAGACTTTTTTTTATTTATCATGTCAGGAAATTTAATCCAGAATTCACATGGAACCCACAATTGAAAAAATAGAGTTCTTTTGCAGGACTTCTTCAAAACCCCTCTAAAACATTTTTATATTGTATCTAGCCTATATCTGTAGTTGGAGGCAGAAGCCTTTCTTTCTGCCTTCCACCAGTTCATAGGAGAGAACTCCATCCATAAGCTGAGGCTCCCAAGTTCTTTGTATATGGTTTCCACTCTTGAGCTATCACATAACTCCTCCTCTCACAAAGAAAATGCCTCTCCCATCCTTCCTCCTGCCGAGCGCACACACACACACACACACACACACACTCATGCTTGAAAACTCACTAACTTATATATAAATAAAAACTATTCCTTATTATAAAATAACATTTGTACTATGGTCATTTGCTTGTTATTCTTTTATCTTATACTATTTACTGTTGTTGTTGTTATTGTTGTTGTTGTTGATAAAGATGCCTGTTATATTGCAATGGAAAAGCAGAGAGAAAAAGGATGTGGATTTAGGTGGAAGAGGAGAAGAGGATCTAGAAAGGGAATTGGGGAGGGCAAACTATAATCAGAGCCTATGGCATTAAAATTGTCTTATTAAAGAGGAAAAATAGAAGAGAGAAAATAATGTAAATTTCACAAATGGGGTTGTATCATGCAGAAGTGTGACGAGTATTTGCATCCTTGCTGTAGTAATTCCTCATGATTCCCATTAATCATCAGGCCTGGCTCCTACAAAACGGGATTTTATCTCCATTGTTTCTTAACCTCTTCAGAATTTTAGCATGAGTAACTTGACATTGACCAAGGGAATAAGCGGCTAGCTTCACCTTAACAGGTTCTGTGGAGATTTGAAGGAAAGAAGCCAAAAACCTTGGGACCCAACACTCGTCTGTACAAATGGATCCCCCAGAATGACCTTCTAGGTAAGCATCAGGACACAACTGAGACATGAGGAATGGCCAGTCAGGAAGGCAAATGTCAGCACTAATGCATTTATGACAAATCGAATATAGTCCTGATAAAAATGGTTAAAGAATCAATTCGGCTATTCTGTTAAGATTCAAGATGGGGAGAAACCATTTTAATTTCTGCTGTAATTATGTTTCAGGTATATTTAAGTCACTTCTTCATGTTTTTCTTTACCTCCTATATCTATAACTTAACATGTGCCTTTTCCCCTATTGTAGGGTGATTATAAATGCCAAAGAGATTGAGATTCTTCCAAAATTGACTCTTCATTTATTATGCCCCCCCAAAGGTCCACATAAAGAGATGTTACCTCATGTGACAAATTATGCTCAGTCTGATTTCTGTACCATGAGCACACAACCCTATTGCTTTGTCCAACACATCAGGGGCAGTGACTTCACTGTTTCTTCAGAAGATATTGTCCTGAACCACAGCCTGAGTTTGCACAGCATGTTTTCTCCACTTGTGGGAGCACTGCCTTTTCTGTCCAATGAAAAAAGTCCTTCTACTTCCACTCTCCTCCTCCTCAATATGGACTTCACTTGAAGCTCAACAGACTTGCTTAAGTTCTCACAGGAGCAGTACAGTCTCTTGGTTATCATAATGCTATCTAGAGCACATTGTACCAAGTCTTGCTTTTAGCCTCTGCCTCTCATTTTCTCTCTCAGAATTATGGTTATTAATACTTTAACTTCATTCTCATTCCTGCTAGGTCATCAAAAAACCAGAGCTTTTGTAACTCATGGTGGCACCAATGGCATCTATGAGGCGATCTACCATGGGATACCTGTAGTTGGCATTCCTTTGTTTGCAGACCAATATGACAATATTGTTCACTTGAAGACCAAAGGAGCAGCTATTAAACTGGACTTTCTCACAATGTCCAGTACAGATTTGTTCACTGCACTGAAGACAGTCACTAATGAACCTTCGTGAGTACTGTGCTTTTCTAAAACTACTGCTAGTCAAGATAGGTTCTCTCATTGTACAGTGGTAGCACCCGCCTTTATCCCAGCACTCAGGAGGCAGAGGCAGGCAGATTTCTGAGTTTGAGGTCAGCCTGTCTACAGAGTGAATTCCAGGACACAAAGGACTGCACAGAGAAACCCTGTCTTGGAAAACAAACAAACAAACAGATAGGTTCTCTCAAAGGTAATACTAGCTTTCCTCTGATCTTGAGTCTGATGGTGAAAACAACAATAAGTCTAAGTGTAAAACTTACTGAACCTTTGTGGAAAGAGCTTTAAATGTGAACTACGACTACTAACTACACCCATGACTTAATGAAGGATAAAGTTAGTTGACTATAATTTGATATTGAGAATTTTCTTCTCTTGCTAAATGAATGGACACAATTTTCACAAATAGGATCAATTCAAGAAATAGGATAATGAAATCAAACATATAAAACATATCAATTCAATGACTCAAAATTTCTAAAACTCTTCATCTTTCATTTGATCCATTGATCTACCTGACATCCTGATATCAATCAGGTTGTACATCCTTAATTCAGAAAACTGAGGCCCACAAATTTTCCTCTGACCTTGACACATACTACTGGGGTTATGTAACTCCCCCAGAACCACACACAGACACAATCTGAATAAACAGGACAAAAAGGAGGTGATGAATTACATTTCCTATGCTCCCTTTTCATTATTGTGCTTGTGTCTCTTTGAGAAGTATATGGTAAATTCAGGTCTCTGAGACGTCTAGGCAAATTATCGAATAGCTGCATTTGAAACTCGTGTCTTGTGTCATGTTTGGAAAATATATCCATTTCTCTTCAGTTACCATTTTTTAAGCATTGATGATGTTTTGTTGAGATGTCAAATCAGTTTGACACCGTTTCTTTTCAAGGGCATCAATGCAATCATCTTGAAATGACATTGAACCACTGCACTTGTTGGGTTTGGAATGACTTACAAACATTTCCTATCCTGGAAAGTGTAAGGCAAATTAGTGGCCCCAGCCATGGGGTCCGGGGAAGCTTCCACACTGCGGCTGGTCCCACATGCAGGAGAAAAGTCTATGTTTCCAGTGGCCTGGAGGCTTTGGAGGCAGCAGGCCCCAAAGACACAAGGAAGTCCTTGGTTCCAAAAGGGTTTATTGTCATGGCGGATGATAGATGGATCTGGAAGTATGGCCCATAAAACTCAGGGCAGTCCCGAGTTATATAGGAAGGGAGAAAGGGGGAGGATCTGGGAAGGATCAGAGGAGGCATGCTTAATTTGCTCTGGCCTTCATTTGTATGTAAATCCCTGGAGCCTGAGGCCTCTAGTCACGCCCTCTACCTGTGCACTTTGCCAGGGGCTGTAATGGCTGGCCTACGTGACTGAGTTTTAAAGAGACTAGACTGCTTTTCAGGACCCTGGGTTCTTGGGGCGTGCCGAACTCCTGCCAGGTTCTCACGCAGAGTCTCATGGTTCTAGGCAACTGCCCAACCATGACCCAGAATACCTTTACGCAGTGCTACAGGAAAGAGTTATTTCCCCAAATGATTTCTCATTTCCTATTTGGAAATAAAAAATTCTCAGAAAATGCCAACCTACATACAAACTTTCAAACATACTCCAATCAAATCCATACTCACCTAATGCTCTACACTGAAATTATGGAGTCTCATGATGCTTTCCCTGAAGCATTCATGAGCTTTATGCACTACAAAATTAATAGGTTTTCATTGTTGATGTCTTTAGCTACAAGGAGAATGCCATGCGGTTATCAAGAATTCACCACGATCAGCCAGTGAAGCCCCTGGACAGAGCAGTCTTCTGGATTGAATATATCATGCGCCACAAAGGAGCCAAGCATCTTCGTGTGGCAGCTCATGACCTCAACTGGGTTCAATACCACTCTCTGGATGTGCTTGGGTTCCTGCTGGGCTGTGTGGCAACTGTGGTGTTCATCCTCACAAAGTCTTGCCTCTTTTGTTGTCAGAAGTTTACTAAAACTGGAAGGAAGAAGAAAAGGGAGTAGCTGAACTGAGGAAGACAAACACAGGGACCTCCTCAGTGCATCACAGAAAGGGTGGCAATGAGGGCTGAGTCCTTCATCCTGTGTCAAGATAAGTTTTCAAAAAGTATTTATCAAGTCATGAGATTGCTTTTTCTCCCAGAGAACTAATAGTTCTTTTGGAATTAGTAATATTTCAGCCAAAGTTAAAATTGAAAAGGAAACACTAAAATTAACACAATCAACATGAATACACACAAAAATTTTACAAATTCATTTCTGCAGGATAAAAGTTAAACCAAAGAATGTTATGGCTGAAGAATTGTCTCCATAGTCTCATGATTTGTCAGTCAAGACTTCCTCCTTGATTTTGGATGCCAGGAACTCATCAATAGCATTTGGTACTGTAGTATAAAAAAAATCAGGAGATGTAAGACAGATTCAGGACAAGAGCCTGAAGCTTTCAGGCCAACTACCTGGTTTTCTGCAAGTAATTCCCTGCCTTATAGAATATGGAAGGGAAACATAACAATGGAGGTGTTGGTCTGACATTCCATATGTGTGACAAGACATAGGTATGCCCCACTCACAAATTAATAAGCACAAGCATGTAAATATACACATACGCACAGGCTTTAAAAACATACAAACACACATACACGCACACAGACACACACACACACAACAAATATTTATGGTGACTAACAGATTGTTTGAGGATACAAGTTCACTAAGAAGCATACTCATATCTACATGGTTTTGCACGTATTGAACAAGTTTTAACTTTATTTATTGCAGATTTTACAGGATGAATTTTCAGAAAAAGTGTTCAGGCCTGGAGCTGTATGACAACAGTAACCCTACATTTTTCTTTTGTAGATCAATATTATTGCAGAGCCTTGTGTTGTACACTGAACCTCTGAATGACCTCTTCCTTAAAGGAACTACCAAGATAGTACTTGGAGCTGGAGAGATGGTTCTACAGTAACTAACTCTAGCTCTTCTTCCAGAAAACCCACATTCCATTCCCACCCCATATGGTGAGGACTCAGGTCCAGCAGTAACTCAAGTGTCTTAGGATCTTACTCCCTCTTCAGGCCTCTGTTGCTGCTGTATTCATGTGACACAGAAAATATGCAAACGGAACACACATACACATAAAATTAAGAATCAAAGAAAATTTTTGATTCCATGAAATGAGTTGTGTTTTCCTTCAACCACTAACAAAGAATAATGAGATTACCTCATTTTCCTAATTAGCCTTAGGGAACAGATGTAAGATTTCAATTTATGTTTTGATAACACAGATTAAAGACTCAAAATAAGCTGTTCTCACACAATTGCAGAATGTGTGTATGTATGTGATATGTGTCCCTTTTTACAAAACAGAATATACTTTACCCATGTTCTCTATATTTATGCTGTGACTTTAATATTTCAATAGAAGATGTTCTGAAATTATAATTATGACTGGCAAGATGCATGAGAGTGATTCAGAGTGTTTGCTCTCCCAGAATGAGAATTGAGATTAAATTTTATTGTAAGTGTAGAAACAAAGCCTGATTAGAAATGACTGTACCATAAGTTCTCGGATGGGGAGGAGGATAAAGACAGATGGAGCAATAATTTAGGCTTTAGATAGCCTAAGAGAAGTGCCAAAGTTCAAGTTCAGTGATATGTCCTTTCACAAATGAATAAGATAGAAAATGACAAAGCAGGTAAGACACTGAGCAACCTCTGTCTTCTGCACTTAGATGCATTACTACACACACATGCCCAGCACATAGTCAATCACATATAATAGACATGGGCATAACATATATGGAACCTCAAACAGAGAGAATCAGACAGAAAATGTCATTAATCCATAATCTAAAATTATCTTTAATTATCAAATGTCTATAATCATATAATAATTATATCTATAATTCAACCAATATTTATTATGTACTATGTATATAATTATAAAAACTACCAAGAAAAGCAGGATAGACAAACTGATAAAGGCATAATCGTATGAGATAAATCCCTGCAGTAAGATCATGGAACCACACATGTTATCCTATTCTCCTGAAGAAACCTGTAGCAAGTCCAAACATACACATTCACACACACACACACACACACACACACACATATCATAATCATCATCATCATCATTTTTTAAACTTTTAAAGGAATCCAGTTCCCTCTAGTTATTGTTATGGCCTCTATCAGCCATTTTCCCCAGCCGATATCATTCTTTTGTGAATTCCCATATGCCTGCAGAAGCACTCTTTAACTCAGACTCTACACATGCAACACATTAGCTTGGATCCAGGTAGACTATCTAGCCCAGCCCTGATACATTAAGGACTTTTCAGAGTATTCTCAGACCTGATCTGCTTCTTTCCTAGCAACTCTTCCTATACTACTCCTACCTTGCACAAATTCACTGCCATTCTTAGCCAAAACCAGAATAACCACTATTTCTTCCACTGTTGCCCTTTGTAGAACCAGCCTCCCAATCATGATTCAGAGAAATTAATCATCAGTTCCTTTCACCTTCTGATAGTCTGTCACATACATCAGGGAGTTAGCCTGGTCTAGCTGCCTTAAGAGGCATGCTTCATAGGTTCATATGTCAGTGTCCAGAGCTCCTAGGTTACTGTGCCTTCAGTTCCTGAGAAGCTGAGGAACTGGCTCAGGCAGTGAATAATTCAGGCCTCCTTGTATTTCTCTGTATTTCTTAGAATTCAGTGAAATATATAAACTGAACAGGACACATTTGTCTTTGGCATTACTCTGATGTGTCCTGTATTGCTTGCAAATGTCATTGTGTCCTACTATTGTCGTTAACCTACCAGACAGCATTATATTCTGGTTCTGATAAAGGTATAAAAAGTCTGAGTGCTCCAATAAATTTGTCTCAGCCAAAGACAAATTTGGCTTCCTGAGACCCCTCCACTAGAATTTGGTTAATATTTCTGTCTCATCAGCCATATCAGGTAACCATGGCCTGGTAAATAAAAGCAGGTACTTACAATGTACCACACATACAGCATCTTGGACTGCTTAGTCTTAAGGCAGAGATTCAACGAGAACTGAAGATCCATGTCAGGGTTCAGACTATGAACCCTAAAAGACAGAGTAACTCCAAGATGGATATCAAGTATAGTTCATCTGGCCTACAATTTGTCATATTGGGATACAAGAAACTCAATACCTGAGTTCCCACTCATCAAAAGTATGACTAGATATCCATAACAAGAAACTGCACAAGCATCATAACAACAGATCTCTAGAGCACAGCAGAAAAATTACAAACACTAACAACCAAGGTAACTTCTTCACAAGACAGCAAACCTATCATAACATGCCATGAGGAAACAGTTAACTGAATCACAAGGAGGGGTTTTCAAATAGCAATTATGAATATGTCTGAGGATCTTGATAGTGATACGAATAAATGCCTCAGTGAAAGCCTGTGAAAACAAACAGTTGAATGAATTAAGGAAAATTGCTCAGGACCTCTACCTTCTACAACATACAATGTTCATTTAAAAATGCTTTTTAAAGTAAAGTTGAGAATCATAAACATAAGATGGTAATAAAGGACTGCAAATACGTCTGTTATTGAATTTGAAATTTATTTTTGATTGATTACAGAAGCAGAAGAAGATGTGCAATCCTTCCTACACTGAATTCATAAAAAATTACAACATCTCTCTGTTAATATTTTGTCTAAACTCCACCTCCACAGTTACCTGGCAACAGCCAAGTATGCTCCTGCCCACAGTGACCTGGCAACACCTAGGTAGGCCTAGCCCACTATAAAAGGGGCTGCTTGCCCCCTCCTCTCTCTCTTGATATCTTCATCCCTCTTTCCCCTCCCCTTTTTCCTCTTCCATTCTCCCTCTCTCCACATGCTCAAAGCCCAGTCTCTACTCCTCAACTTCTCTTCTTCTGTCAGTCTCTCTCCTCTCTCTCTCTCTCTCTCTCTCTCTCTCTTTCTCTCTCTCTCTCTCTCTCTCTCTCTCTCTCTCCCTCTCTCCCTCCCTCCCTCTGTCCCTCCCTCTCTCCCTCTCTCCCTCTCTCTGCATCCCTCTCTCTGCCTCTACTACCATCCTGGCTCCCCTCCCCATGCCCTGAATAAACTCTATTCTATAACAGTATGTGACTGGTCCCTCAGGGGGAAGAGATGTCTCAGCATGGGCCAGCTGAGACATCCCCTTCCTCCATACCTCTTCACAAACCCACAGAATATACTCCCTTTATCTCTTTATCTTTTTACAAACACATCACTGGAGCCATGAGTTGTACATAGAAATCTACAGGTTTGCATCAGACCTGTTACCAAAAGATTTTCACACTCCCTAGCCTAGCCTAGAACTGGTAAGCTCCCCCATCCCCCAACTGGTCAGAGTAACTGTCCACATGGTCCCAGAGATTTCTTGAGCTCAGAGCTAACCCTGTGCTTCCCTGACCCTTGTTCTAGGACTTCTTCCTTGGGTGAGAAATTCCACTGTCCTTTTGAGACAGTTTCCTTCTCATGGCTGAGAAGCCCAGGCCAGGCCTGGACAAACTGTTCTCTCTCTCTCTCTCTCTCTCTCTCTCTCTCTCTCTCTCTCTCTCTCTCTCTTTCTCTCTCTCTCTCTGGCTCCAAACTCTAGTCCCCAGTGTGTCTCCCCCAGGAGTCTGTCTTTCAGGTTTTTCCCCTCTTCCTCCATCATTTGTGGCCTGCTGCAACTACTTAGTTCAGCTGGTTTACCTAAAAAGCAGGTCCAGGACCTTCCTTGCTCACTTCTTCCCTGTGTTCCTTAGCTCTGCTCTGGATCCTCTCCTTGCATCCTGCCAGAGACCCTCTTTGAGACTTGCATTCCCATGTGTACATCCACCCATGCAAAGAGCTTGGCAGCTCGGTGCCTGCCTGTGAAGGAGGGAGTCTCTTTCTCTCTCTCTGTCTCTCTCTGTCTCTCTCTGTCTCTCTCTGTCTCTCTCTGTCTCTCTCTCTCTCTCTCTCTCTCTCTCTCTTTCTCTACACCTTTCTGCCTGGGACCTAAAAAGTAAGTGCCAGCAGTGCTGTTCCTGCCACAAGAAAGCTGCTGTGATACAGAACACACTTGCTTCCCCCACTCCACCCCATACCCTGCCTATCAGGGACTTCAGCCGCTGGAGGCACTGGGCCATGACTTCTGCCCACTTGTAAGAAGTCCCACCCCTCAGCTTCCACTGACATGAACTGTGGCCCACAGCGCTGACCCACCAGCCATACAACCATATGCCACTGCTGCCAGCTTTCTTATTCTGGTCCTAGCCAAAATGTTTCTTTGCTACTACAAAAAAAAAAAAAAAAAAAAAAAAGAAAAAAAGAAAAAAAAAGAAAGAAAAGAAAAGAAAATGTACTTTTCTCTACCTACACAACCTGCCAAAGTTACTTAAGATTTTCCTTCCTATCCTGCCTGATAGATTTCTACTACTGTTATTAAATTCTATTCAGTTGCAACCAATCCTTATGGCTCTCACTCTTGTCAGAAGTCTGCTAATAATATATTTAAGTTTATGACCGAGAGAATTCCCAAAGTGTCTAACAGGTGACCCAAGATGGTTTCAGAAGATGTGCACACTCCTGGAAGATACTGCCTGAATTGTATGTGATGATATGATCACTGAAAATAATGCAGTGGACAAAACTGGATGCCCTGAGTCAAATAACTTGGCTAAACCAAGGTAAGTCATTTCTCATGTCACGTGTATCCATTCCACACACACACAAAAAAAAAGTCCTGCATCTTCTACACTTGAAAAACAGACTGACTCTGCCCAAGAGACCATAGAGACCATGAGAACTGTTGGCTAGTGGACTCTGTCATTTTTAAAAATAACATATAATTGGTAGATTGTTGCTTACTCTTTCTCAGACTTCTGACTACACTGAGAGTTAAAATTTCACAAATATTATCTGTTTCCTCATTACCTAAACTCAGTTTCCATCAATTAAATGCTTCCTATTTCCTCTTCTTACTATCCCACTTTCAGACACTCGGACACTGCTTGCGCCTAGGGATCACAGGCGGCCGTGCTGGCGCAAGCAGAAGCGGGCGGATGGGCGGCAGAGACGCCGGGCATGCAGGACACGGGTCGATGTGGGTGGCCGTGGGTGGCCGAGGGAACAAGAGCGGGCGGAGATGTCCTGGGCACAGGCTCCAAGGCCTCTCGGGACCCGCGATAGAGTACAGAGAGTGCGGGGCAGCCACACGACTAGCTTGAGTCCCTCCCCCTCCCCGCACGGACAGGGGCGCACAAGATTTTGACTTACTCAATCCAAAATTCACGAGACATGTGGAGATTTGAGACGTGTTGATTTATTAACAGATGTCGGGGGGGGGGGGGTTGAGTGGAGAATGGAAAAGGGCTCTCCAGAAACATGTCGGAAGGTGTTTCCCTTATATATTGGAAACGGAGGAGAAGGGCGGGGCCAGAGAAATCTTGAGGCAGAGTCTTGTTCTCTCCGCCCTCTATCTGGGCTCTGGGGGGCGTGGCCAAATTACAGTCCCACATCCCAAGGTCCTAAATTATCTGAGTTCTTTTTTTTTTTGGTGTTCTGTTTTTTTGTTTTTTCAAGACAGGGTTTCTCTGTATAGCCCTGGCTGTCCTGGAACTCACCCTGTAGACCAGCCTGACCTCGAACACAGAAATCCACATGTCTCTGCCTCCCAAGTGTTGGGATTAAAGGTGTGTGCCACCACCACCCAGCATCTGAGTTCTTATAAACTTGCCTAACTCTAATAAAACATTCCACTATATGATCCAGCAAAGGTTCATCTTAAAGACTGCTTGTGTTGTTAACTAATGCTCTTACCTCTTTTGTAAACTTATAAGCTACAGGAAACCCATTCAGATCTGCCTCTCATGGACCAAATAGATGTTATCCAGATAAGTACATCTGCCTAGAGTTCCCACCTACCAAAGGATGAGATTCCTCTCGATTTCAAATGTACATCTTAGAAAAAAATTTCTTTCTCCCAAATGTACTTAATCTTATTCCCTACATCTTGTCAAGTCCAGGTGCATCCAAAACAGCTCCAGAGAAGCAACCTCTAATGTTCCATCTCCTGTCACACACACTGCTGCTTCTACTGAACCTGTTCCTTCTGGCCTATCCTCAAATGGCTCCATAGACTCTGGACAGCAGGAAACAGCCAACTCTCCTAAGACTGGACAAACACCCCCCATAACCATTCTTCTAGTTTTCCCCTAAAGATATGTGGCCCTCAGTGCCAGCAGGAAGTAACCAGATATCACAACAACCCTATTCCTGCTTCATTGTCACCTCTTTCTAATTTTTCTTTTTTTAATTAAACCAAAATAGGGCAACATTACTACTCTGTCTAAACTCCACCTCCACAGTTACCTGGCAACAACCAAGTATGCTCCTCTTCACAGTTACCTGGCAACAGCCAGGTAGGCCTGCCCACAATAAAAGGGGCTAATAAAAGGGGCTGATAGCCCTCTCCTCTCTCTCTTGACCTCTTGATCTTTTGCTCTTGCTCTCTTGACCTCTCTGTCCCCTCACGCCTTCCCTCTTCCCTTCCACATCTCTTCACATGGTCATGGCTGGCCTATACTTCTTCTCTCTCTCTCTCTCTCTCTCTCTCTCTCTCTCTCTCTCTCCCTCCCTCTCTCTTCCTCTAGTACCCTCCTGGCTCTCCTCCCCATGCCCTGAATAAACTCTATTCTATACTGTATTGGTGTGTGGCTGGCCCCCTCAATGGGAACAGATGCCTCGGCATGGACTCAAAGAGGCATTCCCTTCCCCCATATCTCTCCACAAAACATATTCTCTTTATCTTTTTATCTTTTTATAAACACATCACTCTCCATCAAAATACATCATTGAAAGTACTGAAAAAACAACCCAAGAAGGTGACAGGCTGTAGGGCTGTTGCTTGCACATAGGTGTGGATTCTGTTGGGCTGAGTTGTGGATCCAGTTGTCTGTTGCCCCAGGCAGCTGGAGCTGAGGCTCAGGGTGGCAGAAGCATGGTAATTTGACTGAATTCACTCCACATTGCGCTGGGCAGACACTCAGCTAGGGGAAGCCACTGAGCTCCACTCTGGGCATGGGGACATTCCAGTCTGAGGTCCCTCGGGGGCTGGAGCTCTTGGGTGTGGGGTCTTTGGGCCCAGGTGGCTGGCCGGAGACCTACTTGTCTCAGCCCTTGGGCTCCTAGGTATACCTGAGAGGCAACAGAGTGACTGAGATGGGGTCATACAGGCTGGACCTGCCTACATTCAAAAGGGACGAGAGAGAAAAGCTCCAGTGGTGCCCTGCAGGGTGGATGAGACTTTTGGACATGGTGACTCACTTGTCTGGGTCATGGTTGGCTTGGTTAGCTTGCTTGAGTTGCCCAGCCTCCATGACTGGAAAGCAGAGAAGTCCTCCATAGAAGATTAGGCAACAGCAGCTCATCGCTTGAATGTCCCCTCCACAGTTCTCTACAGTGGGCCCCAAAGACAAGAGGAGGTCCATGGTTTTAAAAGGTTTATTGTCATGGCAGAAAGTGGATGAAGCTGTACCCTATATACACATGGCAGGCCTGAGCTTGAATACCTTTTGGAAATAGGGGGAAGATTTGGGAAAGAATGTTTAATTGGGTACACACTCTGGCCTTTAGGTAACTGATGAATATGGAGATCTCTTGAGGCTCTGCAGCCTGTAGTCACACCCTCTACCTGTGCTAACTGACCAAAGGCCACAAACCTTTCCTTGGGAGGAGCTGTGGATGACTTGAAGGTAAGTGAAAGGAACCAGGGCCCAGGATCAAGCCCAAACTCCTACCATCCCTTTAGGGTCTCCAAGGTTCCAAGAAGACTCAACTGGGTACCCCCCTGCCTCTCACAGCTGACTGCCCCACAAGAGGCATGTGTAAATTATATGCACAAAAAAAGGCACTCAAGCATTGTACAAAAAAGGCCATAGTGACATATTACGAAGGGGGTGGGGAGCATAAAGTGACTCTGTATTAAAAACCTCAACTCCCACCAAAATTTACTCAGCCATCAAATGTGAATAGAGTGTCTGAATAAACAACTTTTGTGAAGGAGCTATAGGTAGTCAATACACATATGGAAGTATGTTCAATATCATTACTCTAAACAGTGTTCAAAGTTCAGCTCAACACAATAGGATAAGACTTTCTCCTCTTACCTGATTATAATCAAGAGAGAAATGACAGAAACCAAGGGTGGACATCAGGAAAGTGCTACACTGTGTGTAGATGACAACCCCTGCAGCTGCCTGGAAACAGTGGGCCACTTCTTGAGACTATAAGTCAGAGCTCATGTAGTTAAAACATCAAAAAATGTCAAAACAAATCCACATAAAACTTTTACACAGAAGGGAAAGGAGACACAGAAGAAGCAGGCAGGATTGGTTTCTTTCCCCAGATCCCCTCCTGGAGCCTATGACTCACACAAATACAAGCAGCCAAGAAGTCTCCGCCCACGCTTCCTGTGGGCTCAGCTCCAAGACTCCATGTTGAGCTCCCGATTTCAGGATAAAGCCTCCTAGACCTGGCCCAGGAAACACCAGATGTCTTCACTGCCCAGTTTGAAGGAATTCTGTCATCTTGCTTCGTGAATTTCACACTTCGATGCTCCCAGAGAACACAGGTCAAGGTAAACTTGGTTTTGCCCAAGAGCTTAATGATGCCTGGATCCATTTTCCCCTTTCCCTCTCCCAGCTCTCTCAACTTTGCACTCTGATGCTGAGCCCTCATAGGAGTTCCTGGTTTGTTTCTTACTATGTCTAGGATACCACGCGAGCATAAGCAAGGAGGCACCCTAGTTTCTACTACTGATTCTTTGTCTGAATGAGGGAATAGTGAAAAGAAGGGATTAAGTTCTTAGTGATGTCTGTAAGAGATACATAAATTCAGGAAAGGATTGCACTCAAGCCGTAGAACATGACAAAATATGGTAAATGAATATCAGTAAAACGTACTACCCAAATGTTGGGAACAAAGCCAACATTAATCAAATTAAAATTAGCGTGGTCTTTCTAGGTCATATAATACAATTTAACAGCTGCATAAAACAAATATGTCTACCATTTATAACATGACAGTACTGTAAAACATTATAAACACCAGTACTAACCACAAAGTAAAACCCATTTTATACCAGTTACAGAAAAAGCTCAGAGTAAGGAAACGAGGGTGTTACATGGCTTAGAGGGCAAAGTCTCTGTGTCCCAATGAGCCAGGTTACACAGACACACACAAACACACACACACACAAATACTCACCTACCTTAATAATCCAGTCAAAAGAGCCAAATTAATTGTGAAATGCAGAAAAAGAATATTTATTCACTGTGATCACTTTAGGAAGAAAGACAAAAGGAGCCAGTCACCTTTTTCTCCATCTTTGGGATTCTTACAAGACATATGCATAGCTTAGCATATGTCAGGCATGGCATGGGACCTTGCCCACCATTATCTTACCTCCTAGTCTCAAGAAATGTTAGCTCCCCATAGCTTGTAAATGGCCCTCCAGGACACAAATTCCTCCTCTGTGTCCACCTAGAAACCAAACATTTCTTCTCCCAGCAGAAGGTCACTGGGAAAATTCTTTGAATAGTCTGAAAGCCAAGAAAGGAAACAGAAGTGTCTCCTTATCTTTCCACTCCTGTTAGACTGACTGATGAAAAGGAAGCAAATTCACAGTAGGGGAGAGTTGTATTCAATGCAAAGCCTAAAAGAACAGGGCTTGTTTCTAGGATACAGTGTTCTCTAACTACAATTGCAGTGTGTGTAATTCTGAGATTATACTATTGACTTCTGAACCATATACTTAAAATCATTAAATAGTATGGTAAATGACTGCTGTTGCCACTATTCATGCTACAAAACAATGAACTATGATGCTTTAAAAAATGTAACTCTCTCTTGAAAAAGTGTTTAGCTCTGTACCCCATTTTTTAAAATAGGGTTATTTGGTTGTCTGGAGTCTAATTTTTTGAGTTCTTTGTATATATTTTATATTACCCCTCTACTGGATGTAGGATTGGTAAAGATCTTTTCCCAATCTGTTGGTTGCCATTTTGTCCTATTGACAGTGTCCTTTGCCTTACAGAAGCTTTCCAATTTTAAGAGGTCCCATTTGTCAATTCTTGATCTAAGAGCATAAGACATTGGTGTTCTGGGCAGGAACTTTTCCCCTGGGCCTAGGTATTCGAGAGTCTTCCCCACCTTCTCTTCTATTAGTTTTAGTGTATCTGGTTTTATTCTCAACTGAGGAAACTCAAATGGCTGAGAAGCACCTAAAGAAATGTGCAATATCCTTGGTCATCAGGGAAATGCAAATCAAAACAACACTAAGATTCTACCTCACACCAGTCAAAATGACTAAGATCAAAACCTCAGGTGGTAGCAGATGCTGGCGAGGATGTGGGAAAAAAGAGGAACACTCCTCTATTGCTAGTGGGATTGTAAGCTGATACAACCACTCTGGAAATCAGAAAATCTGGCAGTTCCTCAGAAAATTGCACATAGCATTACCTGAGGACCCAGCTATACCACTCCTGGGCATATACCCAGAAGACACTTCAACATATAATAAGGGCAAATGCTCCACTACGTTCATAGCAGCCTTATTTATAATATGCAAAAGCTGGAAAAAAAAAACCAGATGTCCTTCAACAGAGGAATGGACACAGAAAATACAGTTAATTCATACATTTACATAATGGAATATTACTCAGCTATTAAAAACAATGAATTTGAGAAATTCTGAGGTAAATGGATAGAACTAGAAAATATCATCCTGAGTGAGGTAACCCAATCACAAAAGAACACACACGGTATGCACTCACTCATAATTGGATATTAGCCCAAAAGCTCGCAATACTCAAGATACAACTCACATACCACATGAAGCTCATGGAGAAAGAAAACTAAAGTGTGGGTGCTTTGGTCCTTCTTAGAAGGAGTAAGAAAATACAGGAGTAAATATGAGACAATGTGTGGGACAGAAATGGAAGAAGGGGCCATCTGGGGACTGTTCCACCTGGGTATCCATCCCATGTGCAGTCACCAAAGGCAGATGCAGATATGGGTGCCAGGAAGTGCAGGCTGTCTCCTTAGAGGTCTGCCAGAGCCTGAAATATACAGAGGTAGATGCTCACAGCTAACCCTTGAACTGATCATGGGGCTCCCAATGGAGGAGTGAGAGAGAAGACAGAAGGAGATGAAAGGGTTTGGGGCCACGTGGAGAGAGCAACAATACCAACCAACCAGAGCTCCCAGGGTCTAAACCACCAGCCTGGGAGCACATAGGGAGGGACCCATGGCTACAGCTGTATATGTAGGGGAGGATGGCATTGTCAGGCATAGGTGAGAGAGGAAGGCCGTGGTCCAGTGAAGACTGGGTGCCCCAGTGTGGGAGAATTCGTGGTTGGGGAGGCAGAAGTGGGAAGATAGTGGGGGCACATTCTCACAGAAGCAGGTGGAGGGGGGATAGGATAAGGGGTTGGGGTGAATGGGGAAAGGGGATCGCAACTGAAATATAAATAAAATATCAAATAAGAAAAATAAAAAATAAATAAAGTAAAATGGAAAATGTAACTCTACAATTATTGCTTTACTTCAGGATCATTGTCAAGAAACCTCCATTGGAAGGTGACAGAGAGCTAAAGCAAGATCAACAGTCAGCCAGAGTCAACGCAAAAGCCAGTGAGACAGAGAGACAGAGAGAGAGACAGAGACAGAGACAGACAGAGACAGACAGAGACAGACAGAGACAGACAGGGAGAAGAAGAAGGAGGAAGAAAGAGAGGGAAACAGAGATCTTACTTCCTACTTTTATTAAGGACACTAAACAGCCAAGGTCCCGAGAATCAGTAGCCATTGTTTCATTCACATCTGCATCTGGTTTTGGTACTTGTGACCCGAAGGCTGTGATTATTCCATGTCCGTTTTTGAAAAGTACAAGTTATACTTTAACTACTTGAATATTATTCTTTCTATTTCTTCAAGAGCTGAGAGATCATCCTTTGAAAGGAAGCTCTAAATTCAACCAATATGTCTGTGAAAATGACAGCAGCCCTGCTCCTGATGCACTTGAGCATCTTCTTTGGATCTGGGACTGGTGGGAAGGTGCTTGTGTGGCCAGTAGAGTTCAGCCATTGGCTCAACTTAAGAACAATCCTAGATGAGCTTGTGAAGAAGGATCATGAAGTGACCGTACTGATACCGTCAGTTTCCTTCTCATATGAGGTTGAGAACACATCTACTATTAAGTATGAGATGTACCCTGCATCATATTCCATGGCTGATATAGAAGAACTTTTTGAGGATGACTTCCGTAAGAGCATATATGAGCTGCCAAAGCAGTCATTTTTTGGATACTTTTTAATGATGCAAGAAATGTTTTTGATAGATTCAGATTATTCTGAGAGTCTCTGCAAAGATGTAGTTTTTAACAAAGAAATCATGACAAAGCTACAAAACTCTAGCTTTGATGTCATTCTGGCAGATCCTTTCATACCTTGTGGTGACCTGCTGGCCGAGATTCTCAAGATACCCTTTGTGTACAGTCTCCGCTTCTTTCCTGGCTCCACATATGAAAAGTACAGTGGAGGACTGCCACTGCCTCCTTCCTATGTGCCTGTTGCTCTGTCAGAACTGAGCGATAGAATGACATTCATGGAGAGAGTGAAAAATGTCATCTATACACTGTGTTTTGACTTTTGGTTCCAAACATTTAATGAGAAGAGGTGGAATCAGTTTTACACTGAAGTATTAGGTAAGTATCCTGTTAACTTGGGATTGTCCAATTCTCAATTTCCTGTCATTGAAGCTGACCTTGACAGAACAGGATTGACAGCAGAGGATTTGTCTCTCCTAAATAAAATGGTGGCAGCAATGTAAAATTATCTGCCAAATTCAAAGCATTGCCGAAAGGCTTATGTCACAATGTCAATTGAAAAAAACCTCATCTATGACTTGCACAGGACACTTCTGAAAGGCACATGCCCATAAAACAAGCTTTAAGAACTTCTCTAAGAAATGATTTATGCACAAGACCTTTCCCCTCACCTTTTCCAACAGCAGTCATAGCTGGCTGGGGTCATCAACATCATCATCATCCTTACTGCTATTGTCACAAGTTGCTGTTATTCTCACAAGTATGCACATGAACACTAGTGTCATGTGTGGGAGGCTGGTGCTCTGTGTTGCACATGTGGAAGATGGAACTTTGTTGAGTTTTAACTTTCACCTCTGTGTGGATTCTCAGGATCAATTCAGGTGTTTAGGTTTGTATGGGGATTGAACTCCAGTCTTTAAGTTCTCGTGATAAACATCTTTACCTTCTAATCCATTGCTCAAGCCACTAAAAACACTAGCTTCAAATAACCTCAAAGTCTTCATGATGTCACAAAACACTGAAGACTATACATATTTCTAGCATAGGTATAAACAACACATCGAGGACTTTTGATATAAATGAATTTTCTCACTTATGGTTTGAAAGATCTTCCCCTTTAACCTATTAAATTTTTGCACAGCTGTGAATATGCTATCTCTGCTCCATACACAGAAAACATGTGAATTCACAACATGGGGGAATCTAATTTACTTATTGAAGTGGGTTGACACTGTGTTTCAAATGGATAACCTTGAAAGGTAGACATATTGGATACTACTTGCCTTATTTTAAAATATGCTTAAGAAACACACATGTCTCCATTCATATTTTAAGGCAAGTATCCCTATGTTCAGTAAGTCTGTTTATACATACCGAATACTGCACATTCTGTCATGAATCAAGAGGAATATCACAGAGCTCAGGCAGAATCAAAATTCTCTTTGAGGACAGCCAGGGTTACATAGTAAGACCCTATCTCACTGAAATGCTCAAACAAAGTCCCCTTAAATGTTTACACTGGGTTTGGGCGCACATACCTTATATCTCTGCAGTTGAGATGAGGAGGAGGAAGATCTAGCATCAAGATCTCCTGTGGCTACATTAGGGACTAAGGAACCGCACTCAGCTGCATCCAACTATCTAAACCAGACAGCACAAAATCCTCAGTTCATTTATAGGAGCACACATCAAAGGTTTCCAGTTGCTATGTAAGACATGTTACATCTAGAGTTAAAGGAAAAGGTGTTTTCCTGAGTTATGATTCCTGGATAATGGCATTTGATTGTATTTCAATAACATATCTCAGTGTTTAATGATAAAGAATTACCAAAGTGGTGTCTTCTCACAGAGACTCACACAATGACTTTATATATCTCTGAGCATAAGGATGAGAAACATATATATTATAATTTTTTAAACATTGTACACACATGCACAGAGAGAGAGAGAGAGAGAGAGAGAGAGAGAGAGAGAGAGAGAGAGA